GACAAATTAACAAAACTATATTGAGAACAACATTCTGTGCAAGATTTATCACACAATGTGTAATTTATGGTAACTCTGAGGGCTGAAGAAAACTGTTGGATTTACTTTTTTTTCATTGTATTGCATTTATTAGGTTGGTACCACTTTACTATAAGACTCCCCTTATATATGGCTAATAAATAGTTTATAGATAATTACTAATTCCTCTATAAGCACTTCACAAATCATTAACTGCTTATTATGCATTAATTAAGGATGACAACATAAAACTGACCAATTTATTGACAAGTAGTGAGCCAAATCTGTTCACCTATATATTTCATCTAGAGTTGTTATATTAAACATTTCAGACTAAGTTACTACCTTGTAAGCACAATAAGCCTTTGTAAACCTAATTTCTTTAGCATATGATATATCCAACCTTTATTTATACAGGTTAGTTCCCATTGATCCCCGAGGACTCATTTACAAGTTAACAGTTTACTGCATTATAAGTATCTCCAACTAATATTAGATCCTAAAAAAATAGGTTTACAAATGCTTATTGTGCTTACAAGGTATTAACTTAGTCTGAAATGTTTAATATAACAACTCTACATGAAATATTTAGATGAACAAATTCAACTCATTATTTAATAAGAAACTGGTCAGTTTTGTCTCTGTCATCCTTAATTAATGCACAATAAACAATGATTTATAAAGTGTTTATAGAGGAATTAATAACGTATCTATAAACTAATTAGTAGTGATCTATAAGGAGAGCCTTATTGTTAAAGTGGTACAATTGGGTCTACAGTTTAGGAAGTTTGTATTATTCTGTCAAAAACATCAAGTTATCACAAAGTCTGCAGGAGAACGTTGGCTCTATCTGAGTAGCTGAGGTCCAAACCAAAATGTAGTGCTGCATTTAATCACAAATCCAGAGTTTGGGTTGGATTTTCTCTTTTCTGTGAAGATACCGACTGAGCATGCTTTTGGACGTCCATCACAACCTACCAACTGTTTTTTTTTGTTTTTTTTTGTCTTTGCTCTCATTTCTGCTGTTTTTTTTTTTTTTTTCTTATCTGGAGAAAAATAAACTATTTGTAAATTAAAAAAAAAAAAAAAATCCAAGTCAGGAAACTCATTAGCTCAGCTCGCTGCTGTCAGCGGCGCGACTTGTTAGTTTGATTGTCTGAGGTAAATTTTGGACATTTTAATTGACAGAAGATGGTGCTTTTGCAGTTTTAATTAAATGAGAACTTTTATTCATACTGTGCTTTACAACAGCTGTGAGGTACTTTTACTTGAGCTAGCTTTGCCTCTCAGGGTAGTTTATATTTTTTATTTATTATACCATATTTTTCCCCCCTGTGTGAACATGCTTATGATGGATGGATGGATGGATGGATGGATGGATGGCTGAATGGATGGATACTTTAATCCCAGAGGGAAATTATTGAATATTCTGGTCCTTATCTTTGTTCCCGTTGTATTCCAGTGAGTGAATACCATACTTAAATTGACAGCTTTGGGATCTGATACACAAGTGATTTTTCAGCCTTATGGGTTTATCTAGTGCAGACCTGGGTGTTGTACGGCCCCAGGGCCACATGCGGCCCTTTGGTTGACTCTCACCGGCCCCCGTAAGGGGAATTACAAAATACATATGTAAACAAATGAAGTTAACCAAATCCAGATATAGATCCTCTCTCAATGATGTCAGCTTTGCTTCACATCTCCACCTCAGATCTTGAACCTGACTTTAACATTTCCGTTAAAGCCCAACAGAGACTAAACTTCTCTCACTAAACAAGAAAAAAGAACTGATAAACACCAAATGAGATGTTTAGACTACAAATGTAGGCACGTAAAGAACCGGGACTCGAAATCACAGTTCAGTGACGATCACTATTATATGATGTTTCATAATATTTGGAGTACAAAGAGAATATTGTGATATATTTACAAAGATAAGAACTTTTTCCAGCAGTATATAAAACTCAAAATGAGTGTTGGGGTGAATGTGACTGAAAATGATCACTAATATAACGTCACAAATGGTAAAAATATTAACAGTTTACCATTGTACTGGGAAATTTAATTGAATAAATGACATTTTTTGTAAGGAAACCTCGCTTTTTCGTTGCTTAATCATAACAAATACTCTTACCAGCTTGTTAAAACAGTGCTATGTACTGCTTTTAATAATGAAATACTATTAATATTATGCAGTATTGAGTTAAGTTGAAATCAGGTCTCTCTTGTAAATGAGTCCTCGAGGCTCAATGGGATTTACCTGTCTAAATAAAGGTTGAATGAAAAAGTCATTTGTGCCAGCCCTCCACAATATTTGCTGTTTCTCATGTGGCCCCATGGAAACAATAATTGCCCACCCCTGATCTAGTGGGTTGTTAGATACATCCTCTGTTAGAATTTGTTGTATGTATGACATAACTAGATTTCATTGGCAAAAAAATATAATTATGGCTCATTTGACCTAAATATTCATGTGCACAAAACCTCAAAATGGTTCATCTCCTTGTCTTTTTAACATAATGGTGTAAAAAGTAGCTCTGATATTTCAGGGCAGAATGTTTGGAGACCATAGATATTTCATAAAAATAAGTTTCCATTAGTTTTTACCTCAACACAGGGTCCAAATTATTCTGAATGACTAAAACAAAACCACCTTTCTGTAGACTAACCTGCATTTTAACAGTAAGAGAAATTGTGGGTCAGTGCAAGAAAACCATTTCAAGTAATTGTAGTGTTTACATCCTGCCTAAAGGAGATGAAGTTAATCTTTTATTCATTGGGTTTTTCGTTCAGTTCTTAGAAAAATGTGTTGCCCTCAAATAAAATAGAATTAGACATTTTTTGAATTCTTTTAACAAAACACTTAAAAAATTGACAGTATTAGAATGCACATTGAGGATTACGCTATAGAGAGAGACTAAAAGATACTCTGAAATATGTGCTTATAACTGTAAAACACTTTCATGGTTAGCTCTGAATAAACAACATTCTTGACAATATTCTGTCATAATGAAGGAGTCTAAGCAGATCTGTTGGATACTACAGAGAGGACGCATCATGTCATGTTTTACTCATGTTTGTGGGTAATAAAGGCTAATCTGACAGGACCCAGCTGTTTGTGCAAACAGCTGTTCAGTGACAGTACAGCTGAGCTAAGATCTGTTTGATGTCTGAATGGAGTGGATCAGGATTCCAGATTTGTTCATTAAACCTGCCAAATTTGACACCAGAGCACCGAAAGAGTACATAAATATGGTTTGTTTGCTCATAACAGTACAGAGTATTTCTTAACATTTGTAATGTTTGATACTGATACTAGCACTATAATTTTCACCAGTCTATGAAATTGGATCAGCAAGGTGTTAAACATTTGAGTGGAAGCTCAGGTTTAGGCTGTTTAACCATCACTGTGCACAACTTCTGTGTGTAATTGTTATATTGTTTGTAACTCCGTGTTGAATGGATGCAACAACCAAATCATCGACATGACGACAACCACAGTGAACCGTCAACCCTGCTATCTCAGCAGCTGTCAAAATAAACTAAAGGAGCTGGTTTGGAATCTTTTTATTCAGATCTAGAATAACATATTTTTTTAAACCTAAATGATTTCTGAGTGTTTGCAGAAAGATTTGTTACCCATGTTGAGATGTGCCGACTGATTCTTATTTAGCTGAAAGAACCAAAGCTGCTGATTAAACTTTAAAAACTAAAATCTATCTAAGAAGTCGACACATTTCTGAGTCTGACGGTAGATGTTACAGATTAAAGGCAGAAGCAAAACAAGAAAATATTGAGAATTTGTATTTTTAATTATTTTTTCCCCGATACTTGTGGAAAATGTGACTCTCCCCATCAAATATGATAAAAGTGGAGTTAATGAACGTTGGGAATGCAGTTTCATGGATGTCATCAGCACATTAAAACATAAATGTACTTCTTAATTTTGAGAGCTGGTATAGATTATGACATCCAGGACTTAGTGACCCTAATAGACAAAACTTTCAGTTTCATATTGAGAAACAAACAAAAAATCTCCAGGTGACTAAACCAATTTGTTAGGAGTCCTTTATGTACTTTATTTTTTTATTTTTATTTTTTTTCATTAAATATGTACTGCATTTCCCCCCCAATAGGAATAACTGTTATTTAATTCAGTCACCCAGAATTATTCGTAATCAGACCATTTGTGGTTTACTTGCATGTAAAAGAATAGTTGGTTGCATTTGTTGCACCTATAGCAGCATAGCCCTCAATCAGGGTTTTATCACAACATAACAGGAAGCATGAACACAAATTTACCACTTTAGATCAGTTTGTCACCTTCAGCTGCCCAAGCTCGTAGAAGTGCTGATATAGCATGAAAGAAACTGAAAGATGACCTTTGACTGTAAAAAAGGTTTGTTTTTAAATCAAAGTTTGAGTTATGATTGGGTGACTTCAGCTTCATGGAAAAGAGAGCGACTCAGCTGAAGGTTTGTGAGATCTGGATACCTACGTGTGAATTATAAATTGTTTGATCATTAAAATGTGATGAGAGATTATTGAAATTATTTAATTAGAACAAATAAACATATTGTACTGAGTGATCATTAAAGAATAGTTATATAATATGGACACAAACCACACAGGTTATAAAAGGAGCAGTTTGACCATTGGAAGAAGTTTTTCCACGGTTTGGTGCGGTCAGGGACTTTAATCCAAGTTAGTAATCTTATTTTTAAATATCAGTTGGAAAACTTCATTTTATTATAAAAAATAAAAAAAAGGGGGAGAGGGTTGTTTTGTTTTTTAGCTTCTGTCAAACTTGCAGTGCAACAAGCTGCAGTGGTAATGGTACTCTGGGTTGTTGTAAAACCAGCTTCAAAATAAATGCACCAAAGTGATTTCATTATTTTTATTTTATTTTTTCATTATGTGCTTTCACAGAAACTTGTTGGACAAATTGTTAATGGACTTTTTTTTTTTTTTTTACCCATCAGTCCAGAAGCTACGTGTGCAGCAGCCAGGGGAACGTTCTGTGCTTCACCATAGACTTCGCTTCAGGCTTCACCTGCTCTGAAGGCCCTTCAAAGGTAAAGTGGTTCATGGTTGTTGTTGTTCATTTCTCTGCTTTTGTTACAGTAATGGCTTTTGAGATTGCTACTGACTGTTTTTTTTCCCATACTGGTGCACTTTACACCAGTTTGCTTTAGTTATCATTGTGTTGGAGTCCTTGTGCGCTTTTTCTACCCAGTTTTAGTCCAATAAAATTAAGTGCAGTATTTAAATATGTTTATTCTAACAAGCCCTGAGCTGGTAAATAATCTCTTCCCTTTCTCATAGGCCGTTCTGTGGCGATACAAGTTCTCTCAACTTAAAGGCTCCTCCGACGATGGAAAAACCAGGGTAAAGCTGCTTTTCAAGAATGCTGAAAGCAACCAAATAGAAATGAAGGTAAAGCTTTTTGCCTTAATCCAAGTAATTTAATATTATGTTAAAATAAGATTTTGTTTAGAAACCAAATTGCTGATGAATTGCATATAATTATCAATCATTTAAACATTATTGTGGACTTAAAAAAATAAAATAAAATAAATGCACCAACAGTTCGAAGACAGTTGTACTTATTTGCTAGTTTCAAAATGCAAAGAAAAATAAAAACTAAAAGCAGAGATTATTTTACTTATTTACTCAAACATATTAATTAATGTGTTTTAATTGTTTATGCTGTTTTCTAAGCTTAAATAAAAAAGTTAACCATTTGAAGTGGGGTTTTTTTGTATAAAAATGATAAATTGTTACCATCTTACTGCATTTCAGACAGCTCTAAAAAAGTTTAATTTTGTCTGGATTTAGAAGCTAATGGTGGAGTTAAATGCAGATAACACCACCGTGGACTGTTGCAGTCTTTTAAACAGCTTCAAATTTTTAACATGTTTCAAACAGCATTTTGTAAAACACCACTGATAATTTAGCATTTTGCTATTACTTAGCCTACATAGTTCTTGTTTTATTCATAAATATACCACAAGCAGCATTTTTTAAAGAATCACATTTGAAAGATTTGTTTTGTATAATTGAACCTGTCGGCAGTGTAAAGTTTGAAATAAACATTATCACAGTAGGGCATCAGATTGTACTGAGGAAGTGAAATTGGCAAGTCCAAATGGGTTCCCTTGTAAATAACTTACACTTCAATATGGTCAAACTATTCTTACAAAAAAGCATTTGACATTAGTAATCAAACAATTCTTTGGACCAAAGTTATTTACTTCTGTGTGTTTGCTTTAATTGTAATATTCGACTGTATGCAGATGATGCTGTTGTTTATACGCATTGTATTAGACAAGGTGCTGAAGGACTGTCAGCCTAAAGTTCATGTTACAGCATGTTTAAAGCAGTGCTGTGTTCACTTAGTGTCTAAAACAATATTCTCCAAGTCATACAGTTTAAATGTAGAGCCAGGTTTTTGTATTGTTTTAGAGGCTACAAATATCTGAACCCAGATATCTTGGTGTTGAATTTGATTCTACATCTTAATTTAAAGCTAAGCTGAAAACATTTAGGAACAGAGTTCAAATTTAAGCTTTTAAATTTTAATATCAGAAAAAATTAAGTGCTCACAGAAGCAGTAATGTTCATGGACTCTGACGTTCTCATGCAGTTTGTTGTTAAACTACCTGGTCACAGGCCAGACATGTTAGTATGGTTGAATTACTTTGTGTCATCAAAGTTAACAGAAGCTTGCTAATTACAGATTCATTAATTTAAATCAGATGTGCTGAAGCAGGGAATTACCTGAAATGTTGACAGGGAGCTGTGGGGATCAGGGCTGGGGCTGCAGTAAATGGTGCAAAGTTAGAAAAAGCAAAATTTGAGATTTCCTGTTATAACAACTTAAATAAACCTTTATTTTTTTATGACTTAAAATCATGGACATGCATTACTAATCACTAATTGATTTTTCTTTGATTTTCAGGAACTTGAGTTTGCTAACCTAACAGCCGTCCTCCATTGTATCCATTCTTTTATTGCTGCCAAAGTGGCCTCCATGGACCCACTCTTTAAGTACAGTCAAAGCTTCCCTGGAAGTTACACAAACAGTTAAAGACACGTCCCCAACATGAAAAGCTCTTCTGTATTTTACACACAGACAGGTAATACGTGTTGCTCTTAATATTTTTCTACAAACTGCTGTAAATATAATCTTTGTAAGAGACCATAGGAGGAGATCAAATGTGAACCAGAACGATGGTTTCATTTAATTTTGACACAGCAGCTCGAAACGATTAACAGTTCTTCCATTTCTTTAAGGTATTTAATTTATTTCTCATGGAAAAGTTAAAAGGTAGCATTAATGATACCAAATGGTGTGAAGCTGCTATGCATTTGACAACATATCTGTACAGTGTGGGCCATTGGGAAACAAATCTGACAATTTTCTTACTTGTTTTCCTTTAAATTCACTGTTAAACAAAACAGAATCTGCTTTTGTTACCTTCTTGTTTTTCTGTTGTCTGTGGATAAAACTTTTTTTGTTGTTGAAAAAAGGGGTTGCAAGCTCAATCATCTGGGTAGATAACAATTAAAAAAAGGTTAAATTGTGTAATCTGGACCAGTTTCTTTAAGTGAAAAATGTTTCTTCCCCTATCCAGAGGACTTACAGGAGCTTACATCCCTTTTTCTGAACCACTTTAGCCTTTGTTGTCCTCAGGCTGTTTCTGTGAGTAGCAAGTTGGCCTAAAACATTTGAATTGTTGTACATGATTGATTGTTTTGGACGGTGTGCAAAAGCATACTTTTGAGATTCCAACAGGAGGTTGGCTTGAACCACAAAAATGATGGCTACCTATTGGATAGATCTGATTGGCAGGCCGTAGACTGAGGAAGTCCTCTGAATGGGGGGCAAAACATTTCTCACTTAAAGAAACTGGTCCAGATGACACAATTTAACCTTTTTTTTTTTTTTTATGAATACTTTTAGTCTAATAGGATTTTATGTTCCTGATGAATTGAGTCATCCCTCTGATTTCAAACCACCACCATTTTTTTACTCAAAACCACATTTGTACCAACCTATACGTTTGTGTTCATCTTCTGCATGTAGTGGATAATAAAGGGTAGTATCAGAGGCTGCAAGTAGGGAACTAATTTAAGAATGGCATTCAAGAAGGAATCTCCAAAATGTGGTTGTAGGTGGGCAACAAAATAAAGAGCATGTTCTAAAATGGAGTAACACAAAAATAAGTCTTGGTCTTCAAGAACTTGTGCTCCAAATGTGACCACGTGGCTCACTCACTTGCAAACATTCAGAATTCAGAGACCAAAGCTAAAAATGTACTTGTACAGTAGTCCCTCGTTTATCACGGGTGTTAGGGTCCCCAACCCCCCGTCCTTGTGATAAGTGAAAAACCGAGAAATAGGGACGCTATATTTATTTTAGTATTTATAAATATTTTAAGGCTTTAGAAACTCTTCCCACATTCTTGCAATGTTCTAAACTCGTCAACCTACATCATTTTAACAACATCCGTATATGTACAGTAGCTACTAAATTTTACTTACCAGCTCTGCAGAACATCAACTGCTCTCAGGTTCTGCTCAGTTCCCATCAGACTCCATTTGGTCCAACCCAGTTAGATTCTGCAGACCTAACCTGCAGCAACAAAGCCCGCAATCAATCTTCTAAATTTTTAAACCTACTAATTTTTTCAACATACATATATGTAGCTACTACATTTTACCTACCAGGCTCTACAGAACAGGAGCAGTTCGGTTCCAGTCCAAGCCGAAAGATGAAAAAGTCCTGGTGCAGCATGGCTGAAGCCCACTGCCCCATCCAGGTTGATGCATGTGTGCTGCTCCATTTGCAGCAAGCAGCAGTTGGAAGCAGTGGTGACTTCTGTGAAGTGAACTGATGTCTTCTGGGTAACGTAGTTCTTTAGATTGGCAAAACTGTTAAGGCTCAATGAGAGAAAAGTACAAAATGGTGGCATTTTTTTTTTGTACCGTACAATATTATGTACTGTACGTCCACAAACCATGATAGAGCGAGTCCATGAAAGTTAAACCATGAAGCAGCGAGGGACTACTGTATTGCAATTTTGCATTTAGTCTCGATCAGTCTCAGCCCAGAGAGATACGACTTTATAAAAAAAATATTTCAACTTCCAAACTTTTTTTTTTAAATCTCATCAGTTTTATGTGAAAGTTTCAACTTCGAAAGATTGCTTTCAAATCACACATCTGTTTATTAAAAGAACATTTCTGACTTCTTGTAGTTTATCTGATTTTACAGCTTATCTGCTAATTCTGGAAAAGTTATATTTTCTAAAGAAACCATAATGTAGTTTTTTATCCCCTGACTGCTCACTCCAGGAAATGACCTTTCATTCTTCAAAATATTTAACTTGTTCGTTATCGTCACATTTCATGACCCATTCTTCTTTGTTTTAGCTCACAACTTTTCTGACATTTTAACTACAGAAGTTGCTGGTTTTATTTTAAATGTGTTGTTCAGTGAATGAAGGATTGTCTCAGATTGGAAAAGAATAACTTGTTCCAAAACATTCTGTTGCCATGTTTCTAAAAAAATAAAACTTTTATTAAAACCAAAAGGTTCTGTTGTCTCATCTGTTAACATGTTCTGATTATTATTTTAAAGTTTATTTTCTCTAATCAGATCAGATGATATTTCTGCAAGTTGGTAAAGCATTTGTTTTAGACACAATCAGGTTTAATATCTTTAAGAAACTTATTTTAAACTTCTTGGACTTTTGAAAGTCATCATTTTAGCTTTGGAAAGAGACAGTTTAACGAGTTCTGCTCACGACTGATCCAATTATTTTACATTTGGAATACAAAATGTGGAAAATTGCCTCCTTTTTCCTAGCAAGGTGTTTTGAACATGTTCCACCAGGAGAAGGCCCAGGGGCAGGTTCAAGGCTTGACAAGATCAAACCTCACAGCTGGTTTAGGAGACCCCCCCAAAGCTCCGAATGAACTGGAAGAGGATCGGGGGGACGGTGGTCTGTGGATCCCCTGTGACCCGGCTTCATGTGAGTGGCAGGACATTATTAGATGGAAAGTTACAGAAAGAAACTAAAATATTTCAAGTTGCGTTCAGATGGGGAAACTGAAGAGATGCAAATCACCCAGAGTTGAGACAAAATCATCTTCTAGCCTACTATGGTACGTTTTATACCATACCAACTTATTTCTAAAACACTTAAAATACAACATAGCAGCTGACCAAAGTGCTATACAAAAAAAAATTACTCTGCTATCACCATCTAAGTCTGGGTCAATAAATGTCAAATGACTTGAGTTAGAGCAATTTATGCCACTAAGGCCATCAAATTTGGGTTTGCTCCAGAGTCGGTTGTCAATGTAGATCTAATAATAATTTACTGAAAGCTCATTTAACTTCATTTATTGGTTCATGACATATTTTGCTAACGGTTAACTAATACCAAATTTTGAAACAAAGATTTTGTGTAATCGATAAGCACTCAACAATAAGTTGTAGATCAGTCTCAGCTACTACACCTAATTTTAGGCCAATATCTGTATAAAATGTATCAAGTTTAGTCTGTTTTTAGGGCCAAATGGCTGTGGCAGCCATCTTGAATTGGATTGACTTTCAAAGTAAATCAGTTGTAGATGTCTAATAATTACTTTGTGCAAGTTTTATGAAAATCCAACCACTGTTCATCAGATATTTTGCTAACAGACGCGTGTACATACAGAGAAGCTGCAATGTTTAATATGCTGCCTGCTCTAACATGAAATGTTTTACTCATTTTATTAAATATTGTTTTTTAAAACATTATTTTTAGTTGGTATTTTTCCAGTGATCAGTATTTAAATAACTCTGTAGACCCCAGGGGCAGGAATCATAACATTTGCTCATTGTGTATCGAGCACGACACGTTAAATGTCCCTGAAACTCTGCGACACACAGACGGAGCTGCAGCTGGCTTCTCTCATCTTTCCACTGGCAGAGTTTCTCCTTGTGAGGCGTTCAGGTGCCGTGACGAGGCGATCCTCAACTCGCTGCTGAAGCAGCGCAGCATCATGAGGTTGCATCAGCACCATGTGAAGCATGAATTTCAAACACCCTGTTCGACTCTCAGTGGGCCACGACTGTCACAGCTGGAGACTTGACTGGAGTGTCTGTGATGTTGCCACGGTAACTGCTACACCTACAAAACCATGAACCCATTAAAAACTCATGAAACTTTGCTGACAGTTTTTTATGAACAAATTTCTCCAAGTAAATTTAGGAAATCTTGTATTCAGTAAGAACAGACACTTGATAACTAAAATATCTGGAGTTATTAAACCACTGAGGTGGCCTCTGGATGTGCTGAGACCCTGATCAACTATGCAATGAAGAAAATTTACAATTCAACACGAAAATTGGAAGACCAATTAACACTAATTAGGTCAATTGACAACATGATTGGGTATAAAAAGAGCTTCTCAGAGTGTCAGTGTCTCTCAGAAGCCAAGATGGTAAGAGGATCACCAATTCCACCATTGTTGCGCAGAAAGATAGTGCAGCAATACCAGAATGGTGTTACCCAGCGTAAAATAGCAAAGACTTTTGAGTTATCATCATCAACCGTGCATAACGTCATCAAAAGATTCAGAGAATCTGGAACAATCGCTGTGCGTAAGGGTCAAGGCCGTAAAACTCTAATGGATGCTCGTGATCGCCGGCCCTTAAACGTCACTGCACCTCAAACAGGAATGCCACTGTCAAGGAAATAACAGAATGGGCTCAGGAATACTTCCAGAAAGCATTGACAGTGAACACAATCCACCGTGCCATCCGCCGTTGCCAGCTGAAACTCTACAGTGCAAAGGGGAAGCCATTTCTAAGCAAGCTCCACAAGCTCAGACGTTTGCACTGGGCCAGGGGTCATTTAAAATGGAGTGTGGCAAAATGGAAGACTGTTCTGTGGTCAGATGAGTCACAATTTGGAGTTCTTTATAGAACACTGGGACGCCATGTCATCCAGACCAGAGAGAACAAGGATAGCCCAAGTTGTTATCAACGCTCCGTTCAGAAGCCTGCATCACTGATGGTATGGGGTTGCATGAGCGCTTGTGGCATGGGCAGCTTGCATGTCTGGAAAGGCACCATTAATGCAGAGGACTATGTTCAGGTTCTAGAACAACATATGCTCCCATCTAGACGTCATCTCTTTCAGGGAAGACCCTGCATTTTTCAACACGATAATGCCAGACTACATTCTGCAGCAATCACAACATCATGGCTACGTAGGAGAAGGATCCGGGTACTGAAATGGCCAGCCTGCAGTCCAGATCTTTCACCTATAGAGAACATTTGGCACCTCATAAAGAGGAAGGTGCGACAAAGAAGGCCCAAGACGATTGAACAGTTAGAGGCCTGTATTAGACATGAATGGGAGAGCATTCCTATTTCTAAACTTGAGAAACTGGTCTCCTCTGTCCCCAGACATCTGTTGAGTGTTGTAAGAAGAAGGGGGATGCCACACAGTAGTAAAAATGGACTTGTCCCAACTTTTTTGGGATTTGTTTACGCCATGAAATTTGGAAACAACAGATTTTTCCCTTAAAATGATACATTCTCTCAGTTTAAACTTTTGATCTGTGATTTGTGTTCTATTCTGAATAAAATATTAGATGTTGGCACCTCCACATCATTGCATTCAGTTTTTATTCATAATTTGTTTAGTGTCCCAACTTTTTTGGAATCCGATTTGTGTATATATATATATATATATATATATATATATATATATATATATATTCTAATTTTGCCACAGAAAATTAGTTTTAGTTTCACCTTTAAAGGTTTATATATAATAAAGTTGTAAACATGTAAAGCTCTAGCCTACAATGTTCAGTCAGCTCATCTGGACGGTTTCTTTTTTTGCTGAGACGTTTGGTCCTTCATCCAAAGGACTTCATCAATCGGAGAAGCCACTAAGCAAAACTGATTCCCCCAAACATCATACTCCAAATATGGAGTCATCCATAAATTTCATAATTTTTTTCACTAGTTGTAGATCTTTATTAAATCATTTATTTCTGATAAGTATTGTTAAAGTCCATCCTCCAGTTCATAAGATATTTTGTTAATGTAATGAGAATATATAATTTTAGATAATTTATTGAATGAACTGTAATAATTCATCTGTAATAATTTATCTGTAATAATTCATGGTTTATCAAATGTTTTGTCTAAATGGGAAATAAACTATTTATTTAGACACTTGTAAGAGAAGTGTATTTGTGAAGAAGTAACCCAAAAATAACTTTTTTTTTTTAAATGTTTTTTTAAAAAAAAGCTCTAAACAGATGAACAGGTCAGTTAATCAGGTAAATCTTTAAAATTAAATATTCTCAGAAGGAATCCTGAAGCAGCTTTAGATTATTGAATAAGATGAGCTGAACAAATTAAACTCTTGTTTCCCAAAACTTTGGTGCCAAATCTTCAAGTCTTACTGAATTTTAGGAAAGTTAAAACAACAAAAGGAGTAAAAAGTCAAATCAGTCACTTGTAACGTTTGATGTCATTGCTGTGACCTGCCCTCGAGCTTCAAGCTTTACGTTGACGTATAAAAAGTGTTTCATGGTGAGCAGTGATCGTCTGTGTCACGATGTCGCGTTTCTTTTTGTTTTTCTTTTTAACGTCCGTCTGCGTCGCTCAGACAAGTGTTTCTGCTGATGGAGCCGCGACTTTTAACTGTGAGTGTACACTTTTGTTTATACATGCATATAAAATGTTTAGTGATTTAAACATAAAAGTTGGAAAAAAAAAACTTAAAGTCCACAGACAATATAAAATGCAGCAAGAGGAAACACTTTTAGGAGCACTTTGTTAAAAATAATGTAAGCGCAAGAAAAAAAATGTTTAACTTTTAAATTTATTACAAAGTAGATGAAATCGGTGACAATCAGTAACAACACTTCTGAAGTTTAAGGTTGAATGTTAACATTTAATTTGTGTCAAATATGTTTTATACTTATTTTTCTTTATAATTTCCTATAATACCTTCTCTAAGCACAGGTTGTGTAAAAAAAAAAAAAAGAAGTATTTCTCATCTCTCTGTAAGCTGCTGTATGTTAGCAAAATGTTTGGTTTATTTAAACATTAGAAAACAAGTTTAAAGTGGATCTTTGTCATCTTGTACCATTGACGCCTCGTGTTCTTTACTTTTCGATTCTGATTCATCGAGTGTTTGTAGCTGTGATTAAAGAGCACCTGTCCTAAAATTATTCAAACAGAACGCTGAATAAACGCCAGCAGTTCACTCGAGCCTCGTCTGTCACCCTTCAGTCCGCTTCCTGCAGTCTCAGTTGTTCACAGTTAGACTTCATAATCACAGATGCTTTGTGTCTGATATGATGCAGTGAGAAACCTGTCCAGGGTTTGGATCTGAGGAATCTCCTGCTCTCAGCGAGGCACTGATATTATTGGTGGGACCTCATTGAACTGCGACAGCTGGCGCCTCAATGTTGCTTCACTGAGTGTTTGCAAGCAGCGAGCCATGTAGCTGCGTCTTACTTGTCCAGTTTTTAAAACTCACAGCTGTTTTTGTATTTTGGTTCTGTATTTTAGACTTTGTGCAGATAGTTATAATTTAATCTGCTTTTTTTAAATGAGGATATCAGTTTATTTTTCATATTATTGATAATCTGTGTGGTTTTTAGACCTGGATGTTCTGGGTTGTAGCCTTGGGTGTTTTCTGTCAGAGGAGAGCCCTTATGAAGGAGTCAAAATGATCCCCTTGACAGTTCTGCCTATTTTTAAAAGAAAATTTGTTTTCTAATTTTTGAACACAAGTTCAATTTAAACATGACTACAAGTCATTGAGCCATGCAAGGAGAAGTACCATGAGGGTGTAGAAACTTAAAAAAAAAAAAACTCAGTCACCAACAGGAGCAGCCCAATGAGATTCTGGATAACCAAAGTTCATGCTCAATAACCCAGGTAGAAAATCCAACAAAATTCAGTCAGGCCATCTGGATGGTTTCTTCTTTTTTCCTTTTTCTTTTTTTTTATTGAGATGTTTTGTCCTTAATCCAAAGGACTTCATCAGTCCAAGGAGCCACAACAAACTGAGTCCCACAAGCAGCAAACCCACAGTGAGGAAAAAAAAAAAACATCCAGATGACCTAACTGAACTTGGTTGGATTTTTTTTTACACCTGGATTGTTGAGCAACCACTTTGACTATGACTGCCTCAGAGGAGTCAGTGGGGGAGAGGGCAGGCCCCAGAAACCATCTTATCACCAGCAAACTGGTTGGTCCATGTGGGTTTGCTGCTTGTGGGACTCAGTTTGTTGACATGTTTCGTCCTTAATCCAAATGACTTCATCAGTCCAAGGAGCCACAACAAACCGAGTCCCACAAGCAGCAAATCCACAGTGAACCAACCAGTGTGCTCGTGATAAGATCCACTATGGTGAGGAAAAAAAACAAACATCCAGATGACCTAACTGAACTTCGTTGATTTTTTTTTTACCTGGATTGTTGAGCAACCACTTTGACTATGGCTGCCTCAGAGCAGTCAGTGGGGGAGAGGGCAGGCCCCAGATACCATCTTATCACCAGTAAACTGGTTGGTCCATGTAGGATTGCTGCTTGTGGGTCTCAGTTTGTTGTGGCTCCTAGGAGTAATGTAACCCTTTGGATGAAGGATAAAATGTCTCATAAAATAAATAAATAAATAAATAAAAGAAACCTTCCTAATGACCTGACTAAGCTTTGATGGATTCTGGATAATGCTGATTTATATTTTTAAGTTTTCCAAGATTTGTATAAAATTACACCTATTATTTCCATTGGGTGAATATTAAGTTATGAATTCCTTCAACCTTTATTTAGACAATTAAGCTAATTGAAGCCACTATGCTAAAAAAATGACTGCACTGTTTGAATTCTTTTATTTTGAAATGATCTTTTTGTTCCAGGCTCGACCATCAGAGAGTTGCTGAGCTCATGTCATGAAGAAAGCCTTCAGATCATCGAGAACGCCTCACCCTACAGTCAAAGGTGTTTCACTCTCAGTTCAACTGGAGGGAAAGTTTGCAGCATATCCAGTAACTAACACAAGAACTCAAAATATCTTTTTGTGCTCAGACGAAGCACAACTCAAGCAGAGTCTGACAATCTGGGGGTTTCCAGAGCAGGAGAGGTTTTTCACATGGCCCTGCAGCTTCTGAAGGACAAGGCACAACAGAAATATGAAAGGAAATTTACTGCTTCAGGTAAGTTTTATTTGGAATTTAGTCCAGCTTTAGGATAACTTTCTAATTGTCCTGGCAAAAGATTTTTAAATCATACATCTGAACTTCTCATAACGACCTGCAGCATTGTGCTCAGGTTATTTTCTCCTCAAGAGTTTCGATTGTGTGTCTGTATTAGAGTTGCTGTCGTGGGAAAATGTGAAGCTGCTTGGGGAGCTGTCTCAGTGTCCTGCTGCAACAGATCCAGATGTTTGTGAGCAGAGTCATCACAACAAATACCGCACCATAACTGGACTCTGCAACAACAGGTAGCTCACTGACTTGCAACGAATTGCAAATACCACACCTCTTATTTTGGAGGGCTTTGTCCTTAGGATGGACCCGTCTTTGCTTGAAATGCATCAGTATATTGAGTTTGGAGAAAATCCTTTTGCATTTCTCAGATGCTCCAGTAACAATATGGAATGACTAATGCAAAAATATTTATTGTCCCATCTTCAACTACAGAATATAAATTATTTTTGTTTTGTTTTTTTGGTCCCCCAGTGCAGAGCAAAAAGGGGAAGTTGGAAATACCGTCCATCCATGTACATTAGAAGTATGATAACTTGGATGAATAAGTGATACTGACGTCCTTCTTGGTGTGTGGTTGCATCTAGGTGTAAAAAAAAAAGTTTTCTATAATTAGGTTGCTACTTTAAAATCCAAGATAGCCACAACTACGGTAAATATAAATATGTAAACATGCCACCGCTATCATTTGAGGGAAACTATGCGTTCTAGTTTTAATAATACTTAAAAGTATAGTTTTCTCAAACGACTGGGGTGGTTGAAGATTAATTATTAGGGACAAGGCCCCCATTGGCCACCCCGTGGCTCTGCCATTGCACCTGTTGGTAGATAAAATTGCTCCCTCCACTTACCAGTAGCCGTCACTCTGCATCTCCTCGAACAAGCAAATAAATAAAAATGAACTATCTCCATTCTTCTACACAGTGTAATTCCTTCCCACTTGAATATCTTGCACTAAAAACATTAAAGTTTACTTACATGCCTTGTTTAATTCCAGTTCAGAAAAGTTCTCATCTTGAAAACTACAAACATTCTCTATTCAAATCCCTCAGCGATGGGGGACATCAGCGTACCACTTGTAATTCTTTGGATTTACCATGCCCTAAAGGACTGAGAAACTACTCCAGCATAAATGCAAACTACATTCATTCAAATACAGGTTAATTCCATTGAGCCTTGAGGACTCATTTACAAGAGAGAACTGATTTTAACAAAGAGAGAATATCAAACATAAACAAACGGAATATATCACATGAAATATTGTTCTAGTAATTATAATAATTTCCACAATTTAAACATTTCTATTTATGATGGGTTAAACTAGAAAAAATGCTGTGAATGTACTTTAAACTAGTGGCATTAAAACAATAGTTTATCTAGAGAGCAAGTTTTATCTAGCAATAATGAGAAAAATAAATGTTTAAACATGTCCTCTTTCAGCTGCCGTACTTCTGCTGCATTCATTACAATCCTCTTAAAAACTGTCAGCTGTGAGTCAGATAATGAGAGATTTGTGTTAAATCTGTGGATTAAGTGAGCAGAGTATGATTTAATAAGCTTTTAACTATGTTCATAAAAACCATGTTTAGCTCTATTTGATCAGAGTAAAAGTGGAAAACTTAACAGACACATCGATGATTTAACAGAATTCTGGGTTTAATGTATTTTATGGTAAATATGTGACATTTTAAACACTTTCAGAGGGTTGGGATGGAAACCAAGTGTTCTGTTTTTCTCTGCAGTATTTCTGGACACACTTCATGATTCTCTTTTTGTCAGACAAAATCCTCGCTGGGGAGCAGCCAACACTGCCTTGGTCAGATGGCTTCCAGCTGAATATGAAGATGGGGAGGGAGAACCCAATGGCTGGAACCGAGAACGGCTCCATAATGGATTCCAACTTCCCCCGGTAATCTAAGTCTCGGCTGCAGAAATAAAGTGAGCTGACTCGGCGAGTCGATGTAGCAACACGTTTATTGTTTCCACCCCGTTTTAAAGCTGATAAAGGCCACAGCTGTTTAGGAAGAGACAGGAATAATGAAAAAATTGGCACATATATCTGATTTATTTAAAGTTTTTATCCAGCCTAAAGTTTACTAAGAGCTCAAATTTATTACAAGTCTTCTGTTCGGTTTGATTCATCCATTTAGAGCAGTAGTTAAAATGAAAGAATGAATATGTTAGGATGCAAATAATTTCTGTTTTATGTGCAAATGTGTCTAAAGGTCATGTCCTCCTCAACAATAACAGCAAAACTAAATGTGTCTGCAGCCTCGGCGGGTCAGCAGGGAAATAATAAGGAGCTCCTGTAAATGGAGAGAAGATGACTACTCTCAGCTGCTGGTGGACTGGGGACAGTACATTGATCACGACATGACCTTTACACCTCAGAGCATCAGAAGTGCTGCTTTCTGGACAGATGTGGACTGCCATAAAACATGTGAAAATGTGCATCCCTGCTTCCCCATTGAGGTAAATGGGGAAATGTCTGCATTTTTGCGTTTTTTTTGCTTTGAGCACTTTGCACCCGCTTCGAATGTTATCAGCCATTAAATGGCAATAACGATAATAATGTATCTTTGAACTAACTAGGAGGTAAGCGGGACAGTCTGACCACTACATTTTGGGATGATAACAACTAATAATGGCCATTTAATGGGATGATAACATCCACAGCCGCTCACATTTTGTTATAATTTAAAGTTTTTATGTCTGCTTTAAACTTGAGCCAACAGTTAAAGTTTAACCTCAAATTGCTACAAATGTGTAACCTTTCATAATGGCTCAAGCAAACTAATAGTATTTTTATAGATTTACAATTAATTAAGATAATAGTTTGGTCACTTCTCTTTACAGCATGCAAACATATTTGATTATGTGTAGCACAGGAGCTATTGTCACCGTTTGTGAAACAAACATTTGCTTATTGATTTGTGCCAAGTTCAGTGAGTGTGAGAGATGTCCTCGGCTTTACAACAAGCGAGGCATCATAATTAGTGATTGTAGATCCCAGGACACAAGTTTTCATGTCTCTATTATCCTAACAAGACTTTAAGGCCTTGTTGAGGAAACTCTCCCCAGTGTTTGATCTAATTGTTTCAGTTGACAGCATCGTTGCCAATTCAGCGACTTTAGTGCCATATTTAGTGAATGTCTAGACACCTCTACCAGCTCTTGTTCAAACAAAGCAGCCAATAACAACTTTGTCTGTGTTACGTTTGGAGAATCTGATGTGAAAGCGCATATTGTTCTCACTCACCTGTCCTGAAGCACTCACAGGTGGCCCAGTGCTCAAGTCACAGAACCTTCCTGCTACAGTCAGAGCAGGAGATGTTCACCCCACTGTGTCCAGATGGAAAATAAATCATTCATACACAAAGCAGCCACTGGCTGATCCTGCTGTGGTTGTCATAAAATGCATATTAACACAAACGCAACAAGGTCAGAACTGCATGAATCAACAAAAATCAACACCCAAAAATTATAGCTGACGTGTATTTCCAGTTATTAGTCTGGAAAATGTCTGATTTGTTTACATGGTGGAGTGTGATTTGAAAGTCATACTTCAGTCAGAAACTAGCTGGTGCTCATCCTTTGTGACTTTAGTTTTCATCTTGAAGCTTTCATCTCTTCCTGACCTAATGCTCTGGTCTCCACATTGAGATAAAAAAAAAGTATTTATCTTTGATGATTATTTCCTCTGGTATCTGATGCTGTGCAGCTGGAAGGATTTTTACTGAAACATTTTTACTTTTGGACATTTGTTATGATGCGTAACCATGACAACAATTTGCATTTTTTACAACCTGGAGCAGCTGAGTAACATTGCAAAGCTCAAATAATACCCCAACTACAGCTGGAAAACAAGTTGGATGAACTTCAAGCCTTAACGAGGACCCATCCAGAGTATTGGGAATGCAGTGTTATGTGTTTAACTGAGACATGGCTGCAGCATCATATCTCCGGCTCCATCATTTTCCTGCCAGACTTTCTGACCATACGAGCAGATAAAGATTTAAAGAGGAGTAGCCAAAGCAAAGGAGGTGGGTTAGGAGTGCAGATGGTGTAAACCAGGACATGTAACTGTGAAGTGTCGTCTACAGTCCAGATATTGAATTGTTAGCAGTAAGTTTTCATCCATATTTACCAAGAGAGTTCACCATTGTGATTTGGCAACCACTTACATTCCACCCTATTCCTTTGCTGAGACTGGTTGTGATGTCATCAGCTCAGTGGGTGCAAAGCTACAAACGCAACACCTTAGTGCAGGGCTATTCAACAAAACTGCTCAGGGGGCCGCAGTTTCTGAAAGCCAACAGCTCGGGGGGTGGCCATCCAGCGATTAAAATCATAAACCAAGGTTTAATTCAATTCAATTCAATTCAATTCAAAAATACTTTATTAATCCCAGAGGGAAATTAAATGTTGTTGTAGCTCATTTTCCTTGTTTCATAAAAGAGTTGTTCTAGATGTTGATGGTTGTGGGCGGGAAGGATCTCTTGTGATGGTCCGTCTTATAGCAGATCTGAAAAAACTGGCCACAGACGTTGATCCGTTTACTTGCACTTGTTTGGCCTCCTGGGCTTCAGGATCACCTGAATGTTGGGCAGAAATCCTCCCAGGGCAATGGCCACTCCTCCCAGCAGCTTGTTGAGCTCCTCATCGCTGCGGACAGCCAACTATAGGTGCTGATGGACGATCCTGTCCTTCCGCTGTCATGAGCCGTGTTTCCTGCTAGTTCCAGGATCTCAGTGGTCAGGCACTCGAGCACAGCTGGCAGGTAGATGAAAATGCGTCCACAGAACATCATTTTCAACTCATTTGAAATTTAGGGCTGTAGTTGAGATATTACTTGAGCTTTTGAGATATTAATCAGCTGCTGTTGGTTGTAGAAACTGCCTTGTTGCCATGGTTACGCATCATAACAAATGTCCAAAACTAAAAAAGGTTCAGTAAAAATACTTCCAGCTGCACAGCACCTGATACCAGAGGAAACAATCATCCAAAAACTGTGATTTACATCCAGAAAAAGAGGAATTAACGTTTCCAAAAGCAAAATCTCAGAAGGAAAGTAACAGAGCTGCTCCAACATGCAGCCACCTTGAGCGGCTCAATTCTAGAATTTATGATCTGTTACCTTTTACATTTGTTTATTTTATTGCATTGAATCATAAATGAAATAAACAGAACCCAGACCCCCCCCCCCCCCCCCCCCCCCACACACACACACACTATTTTTTTCTTCTTAATTTTTTATTTTTTAAATAAAGTAGGCCAGATTGAAGTCACCCATGGGCCACCAGTTGAATAGCCCTGCCCTAGTGCGTTTGTGGCAATATCTGGTTATTTTTAATCATATCTCACTCGCTGCTACACTTCTGACGTTCCAACAGTTTTTCAGCTGCTCTACCAGAGATAACAAAATGCTGGAGGCTAATAAAGAAGGCTGACTCAATTCTGGGGACTCCTCTAGAACCTTTGTAAATGATTGTACAAAGAAGGATTCTTCATAAAATGAAGAACATTAAATACAACCCTCAGCACCCTCTTCATCAGACTCGTACAACAACAGTGTTTTCAGTCAGAGGCTTCTTCAGATCCGCTACAAGAGATCCTTCCTGCCTACGGACATCAGCATCTAGAACTACTTTTTAATGCAACCAGGATGATGAATTACAACAAAATTTAATTTCCCTCTGGGATTGATAAAGTATTTTTGAATTGAACTGAACTGAAAACATCATCATGGTAGTTTTTGTAAACTGAGTACAGCTGGCTTCAATTGCCAATGAGAGGTTAGGGAACATTTGGTCTAACAACACACTGGAGCCACAGTAGCTCAGTGGTCAGCGCAGCAGTGTTGTAATCCTGAGGCTGCAGGTTTGAGCGCAGGTTGCATCAAGAAGGGCATCTGGTGTAAAATGAATGCCAAATCTTTTGTGTGAGCTTGCTTGTTGTGGTGTGTTGAGTGGAGCAACTGAAAGAAAAGCTATACAAAATACGTAGTGGGTACTTTCAGATCAACCGCTGCAGCTTTGCCTTGCTTCTCACACACAAACTGATAAGTCTGTAACATGGTGACATGGAACATGAAGCATGTATAAAACAAAAAACATTAGGCAGGTTAACAGTTGTCAGCATTTTGCTTTGAATAATGTCTGAAATAAAACCAGTGTGAGGGAGTGGGGTGATTTTTACTGATTCAATCATGAGAACAAAAACTAGAGACTTGGGTTTATGAGTCTACAGTTGAGACAGATTTCAAGGTTCAAGGTTCTTTATAATCATTTGCATCCCATGTGGTACATGAGGTGGAACATAATTGTGTACACTGGGTCCCAGTTACATCCAACAACAGCAACAATATAAATTGTAAAAGGAAACAGTAATACGGATCTAAGTTACAGTATAAACGAAGAAATAAGCTAAATTAAGAAATATGCTAAACATTAATAGCGTAAAACTATACACCAAGCAACATGAGTCTGTGTGAGTAGATGAGTACAAATGAATACAACAGCATGAAGCAATCAACAGCATGAGACCAGCAGCATGGATAATCTGCAGCACATCACCAATCAATATGGCATTGCAGTGATTTTTAATTATTATTTTTTCACAGTGATTGTCCTGGTTAGGGATTTGTGAGTCTTAACAGCCTCAGGGTAGAAGCTGTTCCTCAGTCTAGTGGTTCTACACTTAATGCTCCTCAGCCTCCTGCCTGAGGGGAGTGGGGCAAAAAGTGTGTGCTGGGCGAGTGGGGTCCTTCATGATGCAGGGGACTCTCTTCCTGCATCTGGAGGTGTAGATGTCTGTGATGGTGGGGAGGATGACTCCAACAGACTTCTGTGCAGCCTTCACCACTTTCTACAAAGCTTTTCTTTCTGAAGCTTTCCTTTGGTCTTTATGCAATGCATCTATTTTTCAGCAAGTCAGCCATCCATTTTGTCTTTTTTTTTGTTTGTTTCATAATAAAAAAGTGCAGAAACAAATGAAATGTATGCAGCCCCAACGCTTTTTAAAATTCACCTTCTTGATGTTGAGGTCTTCTTAGTGGCAAATTAGTTTGTTTATCAAAACCTTTACTTTAAAAACTTCCTGTGGGATTGAAAGTAATGTACTGTCATTGTTCCAGATTGAAGGTTCGCTCTGCATGCCTTTTCGTCGCTCCACTCCAGACTGCTTCATCACTTCTGGGTCTGATTTCCATCAAGTCCTGCAGCGACAGCAGCTGAATGCCATCACATCATACATCGATGCTTCTCTTGTTTACGGCCACACTCCAAAACTAGAGAGCACCTTTCGTGACCTTTCCGGCCTGAGTGGAAAACTCACCGTCAACAAAAGATTCAGGGACCAAAACGGAAGATCTTTTCTTCCTTTCGTAGTCAAGACGCCATCAGCGTGCCGCACGGATCAGCAGGGGGAGAGAGTGGAGTGCTTCAGGGCCGGAGACAGTCGGGTCAACGAGGTTCTTCCGCTGATCGCTTTGCATACGCTGTGGCTCAGGGAGCACAATCGAATCGCCGAGGCACTGAAGCTCATCAACGATCACTGGAGCCCTGAAATCATCTACCAAGAAACCCGCAAGATTGTTGGAGCCATGCACCAGGTATATCAGGAGCTTTTTTCTTAACTGTGTGAAAATGTTTTCTAAACTCAGAGGAATATAAACCCAAAATCTGGAAAAGTTGTTGCTTTCTCTTCTCAAAGTAAAATAAGTTGTTCCAAATGCTATAAAGTAAAGTTACACTGAGCAGCATTTAGGTTTGTCTTACATTTTGTTTGGGGTCACTGCTGTTCTGCAAACCTGCCTGTTGTTGCCCTTTCTGCAGCAGAGCAGAAAGACGACAGTGATTGATTAAACTGACTCCTTTTAGTTGCAGGCTGAGCATTATCAGCGATGAAGAAATGTTAGGCTCATATATTATTCATTTAAATATATATTATCGCATGCAAATGATTCATTTAATCCACTAAAGTTCAGCAGTGACCCTGCGAGCCTGCAGAGTAATATTTGAGCAAGGAGAAAAAATAAGCCTGTAATAATTCAGATCTGAGTGCAGCACCAGCAGATCAACATTATTATTTTTTTCCAGGTAAATCTGACAGTGTCAGGGTGGAGAGGTTTAAAATATTGTGAGGTGGGCTAAGATGTAGGAAGGTGGAAGATTTCCAAGCTGCAGTGACAGCCAAAAATAAATATCTGGGCTGAGCAGGATGCAAACTGATGTCGTCTTCAAAACAAATAGAATTACAAATGCCACATTTAATTAATTATTAAGAGTAGTCAATTAAAGACCCAGCATTCCTTTAAAAAAGCATATCGTCAGCTATTTGTGCCAGTTTTCAACTAAAATCCTCTTATGATGCAGAAGAAACGTGGTCAAACTTTATAAATTTCTATTCAAATGTTTTGTACAGTTTTTATACAATATGAGACGTGACAGAGCTCAGAGGATGTGTTAACAATAACTTTTAACTACTACCATCTTTTTTTTTTTTTAAGTCAGCGCTCCGCAATTTTTTTTGGTTTGCTAAGCTCAGTTGGTTGTGGCGGCCATCTTTAATTAGATTGAGTTCAGTTATAGATGTACCTCGAATGATTACGTTCAGAGTTTAATTTAAATCTACTCCAGAAAAAACACTCACACAAGCAAAAAGCCTAATTTGACATGCTTTTGAAAATGATTGCAAACTCAGGGAACGCAAGAGGAAAAGGAGCTGAAGTCCCGAGAAAAACTTTGACGACCTTCATAAAGTTTGGAAAATAAGACTACTTGAAAAGATTACAAGTCCGGCTGCTCGAACAGAAGGCATAAAGAAATGAGGGATGCTCCAAGACTTTTGGACAGTACTGTATATACAGATATTACATTGGAGATTTTTCTACTATTTTGGGATATCCACTCCTCCCAGTTGTGCGATACTACTGGGAAAACAGGATCTAACTGCAGCTCTTTGTAGGTTTCAGTAGCTGACAGCTCTGTTGTGGTTTTCACTCTATATAGTTGAGTCCCAACGCACACACACACACACACACACACACACACACACACACGCACACACACACACACACACACACCATCTGTTTCCTTTACAAACAAGCTGAGTTTAGTCTCGGCGTTATTCACTGAAAGCATCACTTTAACAGATGGAAATGTGAGCTGCAGCAGTAATTAGAGCCCAGAAAGCTTTTTCCAGGACATCGTGCAGTTGACAGGAAATGAAACACAACCGATAAATGTTTTAGGGCTCAAAGCGGGTGCCAGATGGGCAATCAATGAATGCAATTAGTTACAAATACAACTTTAATTGTTGTCTGTGTGTTTATGTCAGACATTGAAAGATGCGTTTGCTACAGAGCAGGTCATGTTGCATGTTATCGCTTGCCACTGAAGGAGAGGCACAAAGGTGTTTTTGACTGTGCATGCATGTGTGCATATGTTTTTGTTTCAGATTACATTGTGGGGACCGATATTTAGAAAATTCCTACATTGTGGGGACCAACGTCTGGTTCCCATAAGTCTCGTTGGGGGGTTAGGTTTAGGAATAAGGTATGAATTGCGGATGGGTTAGGGTTAGGCATGTACTAGTAATGGTTAGGTTGAGGGTAAGGGTCAGGGTTAGGCTATAGAAATTAATTAAAAATGAATGGAAGTCAATGCAACGTCCCCACAAAGTTAGAATTACCTGTGTGTGTCATTAGAAAAGTGTCTCATGAACAAGAGAATGGGTTTTAACAAAACACTAAGAAATCATTGTATGTGCTTCAACTGAATATTTTTTAGAATCACACAGATTCAAGATGGCCGCCCCAGGCAACTGACCTTAGCAAACACAAAAACAGCAACAATTAACTAATTTTACGAATACTGAGCTACAATTTGATGTGGTAGTGGCTGAGCGTCAGCATTAATGCATGCTTTGAACACTACAGATTGCAGGATATATTTGCTTAAAATATGTGCCTGAACTGTTAGCCATTAGCAGTCTGTTAGCAAAATATCATGACCCACTGGACAGATTTGAATGGATCTCTCAGAAATAATTCATTAGCTGTACATCAGTAAAACTGATTACTATTTAGAGTAAACTAAATTCAATATGGCCACCACAGCTGACAATAGCCAGCACATAAATGGCTATAACTCAGTCATGTTTACAGATATCGATCTAAAAAATGGTGTGGTAGTAGCTGAGAGTTATCCTCAAAACATTCTGAATGTTACACATCTCACATGATGTCTCTCATAACAACTTTTAGGTTTGATTAGAACTGGTGTAACTTTTTTTTTCCCAGCACAAGATGATCTTAGTTTCATTAAAGCAGAGGTTTGCATTTTATTTTATTTTTCTTGACAGTTTGTAGTAAAGCAACACATTTTTCTTGAAAAAAGTTTCATTTGGTTGAAGAATCAATTTGTTTCAAGCTACTTTTTAATTTGGAGCTAAATTTGTTTATTTATGTTAACATATTCCTAAACTGAACTATGGGAAAACTTTAAATCACCACCTAAGAACTTTGTGGGTGTTTTGCTTCAAGCAGCTAAAACTTTCTTTCCAGCAGACTGTCAGTGGGCGACCACCTGACAACATCAAGCCACAATAAAACAAAGGTCATTTCAATAAAGGAGTTCAAGCTGTGGAAGCTGCTGTTCTACCTGAAGTGAAGAGACTGATGTATTATGGTCCATTACGTTTTAGAACAGAGGATCGGGGGCAGGAGGCTGATCAAATTAGAAACATTTCCTTTATGTGACTTCTTTAAGCACTTACTGTCCTCAAGTAGACATGTTTTTAAGCTTAAGTGAGAGTCAAAATAATAAAAATGGTCACTTTTCTACATGCTGGAAGCTGCTCTACAGCTGCAAAGTTCATTTATTGTCAGAATGTGTACAGTGGTGTGGCTTTTGAGTACTTTTTACTCGTAAAAAGGAGGGAATGGTGGGGGGGGGGGTTCCACAGGGGTCCATCCTGGGTACCCTCCTATTCACTTTATACCTGCTGCCGCTTGATGCTATTTTCCAGAAACACAACATGCCCTTCCACTTCTATGCCGATGACTGTCAAATTTACTTCCCCCTAAGACACAGTGGCACATGCTCTATTCAATCTCTGCTCGACTGCCTGGCTGACATCAGGGACTGGATGGCTTTAAACTTCTTAAGTTTCAATGAAAAGAAGTCTGAAGTCATGTTGTTCCCTCCCAATGACACAATCACAAACCACTGCATGGACCTCTCCGCTCTAAACCTGTCAGAAAAACAAATACATGCATTCATTACATCTAGGCTTGATTACTGCAATTCGCTCCTGTTTGGTATCAGTCAAACCTCCATAGCACGACTACACTGGTCCAGAATGCAGCAGCCCGATTTTTAACCAGTACAGGCAAAAGAGAGCACATTACACCAGTTTTGGCCTCACTGCACTGGTTACCGGTTCACTTTCGAATCCAGTTCAAAATATTCATGTATGTCTACAAATCGCTGAACAGTTCCCCCCCCCCCATCTCTCTGATCTGCTACAACCGTATGTCCCACCACGTTCCCTGAGGTCAGCGGACCAGTTGCTCCTCACAGTTCCAGGAACTCGTCTTAAGCACAGAGGTGACAGGGCCTTCTCTGTAGCAGGACCAAGACTCTGGAACGAGTTACCTCTGCTTGTCAGACAGACCCCCGCCCTCACGGTTTTCAAGTCCCATTTAAAAACCACTACTATTCGGTGGCTTTCAACACCAGATGATCTGTGTTTTGATCCTGTATGCTCCACACTGGTTTGTCGTCATTATCTGCATCGTTTTTATGTCTATATTCTGATTTACTTCATTTTGTATGTTGCTTTGTATGTTACCTGTTGTTCTGTCTGTACAGCACTTTGGTTGGCCTTGTCGCTGTTTTAAGTGCTCTATAAATAAAATGGTATGGTATGGTATGGAATATTTTAAAATATTGTATAAAATCAATATGAAATTGAGACTCACAGCCATCACTATAACAGTGGTAATTTTCCCCATGCTTTATCATTGGTAGGTATAAATTGTCAAACCTATGATACTGATAGGTTATTGTTCTGTTTATGTGATGCCTTCATTTCTTGTCAAACTTCCAGATTATAACAATGAGAGATTACGTCCCAAAAATAATTGGGCTGGAGTCATTTGAACGTTACATCGGGCCCTACAGGGGATACGATCCAACTGTGGACGCCTCAGCCTCCAATGTGTTTGCCACTGCAGCGTTACGGTTCGGCCATGGGACCATACCACCAATCCTCAGTAGACTGAATGCAAGCTTCCAGGAGCACGAGCAATACCCCCACCTGAGAATTCACAAGTCTTTCTTCAGTCCTTGGAGAATAGTCAAAGAAGGTCAGTGCACTCCTCTTATGGCTGTCTTATGAAACTAATATTATACCCTGAAAACACATAAGAAAAACAGAGGAAGAGGAGGAAGGTATTGTATTTGGGTCATCTGTAGCATCCGGAGTGGTTTTCAGTTTTATGATTAGTTGCATGAAGCTCTTGTGACGCACAAACTGCCAGCATATTTATTCCTGTTTTTAGTGTGAAATCCTGCACCAGTATGAAGTGGGAGGGATGATTAATGATAGGCAACAGATGAGCTATGTATGTATGTGAAACTGGTGGTGAGTAACAGTCGAAATAAGGGCAACTGAAGACATCAAGAGAAACATAATGGAAAACTCAGCAACTCAAACAAAGTAAAACACAATAAAAACAGATTAAATTGTACACAAAACTAGAAAAATCAATTCAAGAATGTAACATTTATTAAGTTTTCTATTAAATGTAAAAATCCAAACTTTTACATGCAGATATTTTGTTTCACTGTCAAGTTGTGCAAACCAACTTGATTTTAAAATATTTAACGGCTTCTTCCACTTGCCTGGCCACGTAAACATCCGTATGGCACTGTGGGATTGCTTTTATTTTTATTGCAGTGTTAACATTCATATTAGTTATGTAACCCTAAGTGAAGACAACACGAGATGGGATGATGACCCAATCTCGAGAGGCTGAAGCAGGAGAAACACCATCTTCTGTTGTCCAAAGGCATTTCTTGTATGAGATAATGTTTTATTCATTCCTGCAGTTCAGTCATTTTATTTCCCTAAAATAAACTGTTTAAACACCAGAGAGCACAAAAATGTTTACATAAAGAGAAAACTATTTTTTGTCATTTATGTTAAAGGTCTACATTACAACCTATCTGTACTAGTAAAAATACATACATACATAAGTAAATAAAATACATTTCTTCAATCATGTGAGTCCAATTTGCTGATTCACATAATTTTTTGTTTGTTTTTGTGTATGTTTTTGCAGTCTAATTTGTGCTGTTCTAACCATTCATATATCAAAACATTCAGCTCTTTCAGGAGATGGGTGCTATGAAATTTGTTTTTTGTAACTTTTACAGTTTGTAAAATATTTTACAGTATTTATACATATTTACGCCATTGAAATTCAGTATCAAAATACTTTCTAAGACATTTTCTATAAAAACTGCTTTAGCAAACTCAGATTTGTTTTGTCTGCATTTTATTTTGAGGTTTAAGCTAGCCTTTTGCTACTATTAGTTTTAAGATAGATCTTCATGCTTTTTATAGCATTTAGCTATTATCCTGTAGCTACCAAGTTGCTATTTTTAGCATTTAGCAAGCCTTCTGGTATTTTAGCTACTGTTTTCTTACATTTTGGCATTTAACTAGCTTTTTGATACTTTTAGCTTTAGCCACTGTTTTGCCTCCATTCACTTTTACTTAGCTTTTTTGCTACTTTTAGCTAGTTATTGTTCTGCTTATTTTAGCTTAACAACTCAGTTTCATCTTCTTCAGCAGATTTCAGCAGTCATTCAGCTCTTGGCTTTCACTCGGCCTTTTGACAAATTATAATTTGTCTTGTTTTGTACATTTCTTTGTGGGATTTTTTTTTTCTTCTGCGTATCAGTTAATGCTTCATAATTCTGTAAAACTATACAAAATACATGAAACTTCTTAATGTCAGTAAAAAACGTGTCTGTATCCAGGTGGGATTGAGCCAACCCTGAGGGGCTTGATTGGAACGGCAGCGCCAACGGTTCATGCAAACTCGCTGCTGGTGGAGGAAGTAACAGAGATGTTGGTGGTTCTTGATACACATCAAAATATGGATCTGGCTTCTCTGAATCTGCAGAGAGGACGAGACCATGGACTTCCAGGTGAGACCCCCCCCCCCCCCCCCCATTTTGATAAGTTTTAACATGTCACCCATTGAGAAATATTAATTGTTGCCTTTTATATCCTTAAAATCTGTATTTACTTAAAATCTATATTTAAAAACATTGTGTTGTGTTTGAGAGGAAATGGCATGTCAAGGTTTGATAGAACAGATAATCAATGGCAGGTCAAGAATCATATGTTAAGATAGAAGTAATATCAAATGTGAACAATTACATTTTAACAATTCATTTTAGGAAATGAGGTCAATTTGTCCTCTAGTAGTCTAAGCTTAAGGCAGTATAACAAGCCAACCCTAACTACAGGATTTATCAAAAAGGAAAGTCTTAACCCCAGTCTTAAAATTGGACAATGTGTCAGCCTCACGGACAGACACTGGAAGTTGGTTCCACAAGAGAACTGAAAGATCTTCCTCCCATTCTGCTTTTGGAAACTCTAGGAACCACAAGTAAGCCTGCAGTCTGAGAGTGAAGTGCTCTGCTAGAAAAATATGGAACAATAAATCTTGAATATAAGATGGAGCTAGGTTGTTGAGGGATTTGTAGGTTAGAAGTAAGATTTTGAATTCAATTCTGGATTTGACAGGGAGCCAATGGAGAGAAGCTAAAACTGGATAGATATGATCTCTCCTACTAACTCCAGTTAAGACTCTGGCTGCAGCATTTTGGATCAACTAAAGACATTTTAAAGACATACTTGGACACCCAGATAATAAATCATTGCAATAGTCCAGTGTAGACTTGACAAATGCATGAACCAGTTTTTCTGCATCATTTTTAGATAAGATGTTTCTAATTTAAGAGATATTACGCAGGTGGAAGAAGGCGGTTCTGGTAAGGTTTTTAATGTGGGGGATAAAAGACATCCTGATTGAAAATAACACCAAGATTTTTAACATTAGAGCTGGAGGCCAGATTAATGTCATCCAAGGAGAGTGAAAGGCTGCAAAATTTATTCCCAAGATGCTCAGGTCCAAAAACCAAACCTTCAGTCTTGTCTGAGTTTAAAATCAGAAATTTAAGGGTCATCCAGTTTTTTATGTCTTTAAGACATGCTTGTAGTCTAAGTAGCTGATTGGATTCATTGGGTTTCATGAACAAATATAACTGTATCATCAGCATAACAATAAAAATGTATCCCATGCTGTTTAATAACTATACCTAATGGAAGCATATATAAGGTAAAGAGTATTGGACCAAGCACTGAGCCCTGAGGAACTCCATGACTATCTTTGGTGTATGAAGAAGATTTATTGTTTACATTTACAAAACTGGAATCTATCAGATAAAGATGTTTTAAACCAATTTAGAGCTGTTCCTTGAACCCCAATATCATATTCAAGTCTCTGTAGTAGAATATTATGAGCAGCTGTATCAAATGCAGCACTGAGGTCTAACAGGACCAGTGTAGACACCTGTCCATTGCCAGAGACCATGAGAATATCATTAGTAACTTTCACCAGTGCTGTTTCTGTGCCATTACAATCTCTAAACCCTGAATGAAACTCTTCAAACAGATTATGGTATTTCTTTGCAGATGTTCACACAACTGACCTGCAACTATTTTCTCTAGTATTTATTTAAAAAAAAAAATCTAGTTCTCTTATTTATTTCATAGTTATTACCATATCATACTAATCAACCTTAAACTCATAACAGGAATGAAAGAATCTCTGTCCATGTGTTCATTTTTATCAGGCTGGACTGTTGTGGTGATTATTTTTTATATTTTACAGCAATTTTCAAAAAGCTGCTGCCTGATTTCTCACTAACTCCATAAAGGTGGAGCATGTTACAACAGTCCTGAAGACACTGCAAAGACCTAAAACAGATTTCTTTAATCCTACAGTGCGCCTACAAATCCTCTCAGATTTACTTAGGCTTTATAAAGCGTTCAGAGCCCTCGGGTCATTTTGGACTCACTCAGTGTTCAAAAACAAGCGAGATGATGCAACTTTTATTTGCCGCAGTTGTTGAACAAATTTGATTTAAACACCTTGAACAGAAAAGAAATACACATTTTTAAATAACAGTGCTTGCTTCAGATTTCATATGCAGTTCATCAGCTATATTTTAATGCAGCTTGATATTTTGGTGTTTTTACGTCCCTGTGAATCTGTGTGAATAATTGATGCGATACAAAAAATAAAAAATAAAAAATACCTTGTGTAGTTAAAAGGAAACTCTGATGATTTTACAACACTTCTTCTTATGTGTAAAAACCTCCGAGCCTGCAGGGAGAACTGTGTGAAAACGGATGCGGCTCAAAGAGCACTCGTGTAAAAATAAAACATCTTGGTGTGTTGAGCATGAGAAAAACTTCACTGCTGATGGAGGCCAGAGGTTTGAGAATACATTAACAGCTGCACACCTTTGTTCAGGGTGAAGCTGATGTGATGTTTACATCAATGCTTACCAAAAGGAAAATGATGTATTTATTGTAAGCAGTACATTAATCAACCTGAGCCACTTTGTGAAGGGCACGTCAAATAAAATGTTCTCATTAAATAAACATGATGCAACTTGCTTAACATTTCAATCTTTGAATAGAAAAATGAAAACAAGAAGAAAATTGGATTTAAAAACGCTTTGAGGTATCAAGACTAAGTTAAAACGTGTTGGTGCATTGGTGCGCTGGGCCGGCCTTCCTTGGCTGTTGTTCCCTGCTGCTCTGGCCCCCGGCCTGGGGCCGGCTTGCGGTCGCTGTCGGGTTGGTGGGGCACATGGACGGCTGTCTCTGTGTGCCTGTTTATGTCTCAGGTTGGGTTTTGGGTGGTCCCCTCTCTTGGATCCATTACCCCCCCCCCCCCTTCGGTGTGTTGTACTCCCCTCCGGTGGTGGGCCCCCCTGTGTTCTCTTTATACCTCTCTCTCTCCTCTATTCCTATCTCCTTCTTTACCTTTTAACCCTTCTCTCACTTTTCTGCTTTGTCATCTCCTTTGTTTTTCATCCCCATGTCCATTACATCTGAAACAAGCCCATAGCAAATTCTAATAAAATTTTATTTTCATATCAAGTGGCGCATTAAGGCCAGCCATAATGCTCTGCTTGTAAAAGTAAATCTGTTGGCATTACTTAGGCAGTATCATAACATACAACATAACTGGATTTTTCCACTTTGGAGTAGGCTGTTGGTGGAGAATCAGTTTTGTTAGGTGTTTCCTCAGACTGATGAAGCCTTCTGGATGGAGGGCAAACATCTCAGCACAAAAAAATAAACTGTCCAGATGACCTGACTGAACATTGTTCAGTTTCATCACAGAATTTTAACAGAATCCCACTTTTCTAACGTGACTAAAATTCAGAAATATCTTGTTTATTTTTCAGGTTACAACAAGTGGAGGAACTTCTGTGGATTGATGCAGATTCAGACCTTGGCTGATCTCACCAAGGCTGTAGGAGATGTCAGTGTTGCTGAGAAGATACTGGATTTATACAAACATCCAGACAACATTGATATTTGGCTCGGAGGACTCGTTGAAAACATCATACCTGGATCAAGAACTGGTCCGCTGTTTGCTTGTCTGATCGGAAAGCAAATGAAATCCATCCGTGATGGTGATAGGTGAGTGTATATATATATATATATATATATATATATATATATATATATATATAT